GGTATAAAATTATAATATATTTTAAATGAGTTGAAGTTTGGTAAAATGAATAATTCGATTTTTACATCGTTATTTATACATAAATGATCTACCAAAATACTACTTAGGTAATTATACTTCATTCTCAAAAATGATAAATCCAATATAAACATTATAAACTATAATAAGAAGGTACATCTTGTGTCATACGATTATTCGTATAGTTTATGGGTACTTACACGATTATCAACATAATATTCTAGAAACACAATCCCAAATATTATAATAATATGTGTATATAATCAAAACGTGCCTGGTACCGTGTTCTATATTATGTAGGTACACCGTTGACCTCGCGATAAGTGTAAATCTCATAGTAATTTAATCACAATGATCTATGGAACATGTGTGACTAGTGGATATTATAACACTTCGAGTATAATAAGGTGATGTAGAGCAATTTAATTCCATTATTCCATTATAGAGCACCGCTATTTAAACACTCAAATTTTGTTGTGATGTACCGATATTCTTCTTTTTTTGTCAGGAATATTATCTTATTGTAATGATATATAATTTGGACATAGACGATAGACCATCTAAATAATTTACCATCATCAACCATTTTAAATAAAAATTTCCCTTTTTGTCCCTTTAATTATAGTTGTTTTATCGTACAGTTTTCAATTTCAATATCTAATGATAGGAATTAAACCTAAAGTTTAATGTGCAATTTTCAATTAGTAAAATACTGTATGTATACAATCATTATTTAAAAAGTACGTATGTAAATATTTTTTGTATCATTTTAAATTCAAAATAATAATTTTTATTCTAGGTACTATACATTTTGTTAATAATAAATAATAATGTAATGTTACCTAATGTTTTAAATCCAGACAATTTATAGTCAATATTTTTTAATTCCGCTGATTTTAAGGTCTGGTATTTCGTTTTAAATGCATTTTATACTCCACAAATATAAGTTTCAATGCATATGTTTCCATTTAATAATACTGTAATGTTATAGTCCGTGATGTCATAATTCCGGTTGGTCTTCATTGGCAATCAAGAATTTTGCTTTCCGGCCATTTAACAGTCAAAGTCATTTAATTCCGGTAAATATAAGTTCGGTGTTATTACTTTTTTTCGTTCTTACGTTCATGTTCATTAAACTAAAACTAATACGTTTTGTTTTCTACACAAATTAAATTATAGTAAATATACAGTCCAGAATTTAAATTTGAAAATTTAATTTTCGGATTTAATTTTGTTCATTAATTTTTAAGTTCCAAACAAATTACAATCAGTATGTAAAAATTCCTTTGATTTTTCAATGATTCAATGTATTTTATATATATTTCAACTAGTTTTTTGGGGTGGATTTTACTGCCTCACGGCACCATTAATAAAGAATGTAATATCTATAATAACTGTCACATAAAATATCGTGGGCCGCGGGGAATATTATTTTGAAAATACACTACAACAATTTCTTGTTAAATTGGTTTTAAAACTGTAGTTATTGTTCGAAATGATTTGAAAAATACAGCATGCAATTTCTGATTAGATGATTTTATTTTCAAACTTCATTATTTAACTACAAATTTTCTATGCTTTCTTAAGAAATTTTTTCGTGAATCGTGTTGCCTCCTGTTTCTCCCGCCTAATTTCCGCATGCAGTATTGCCTATGTGTTCATTTTAAGGCGCCCTTTTCTTTTTATACTAAGCACGATTCTCAAATTATTAACTATTTTGTAATCTGTAGATCTTAATATCTACATTATGTAATGCAATGTTACGTCCAATATCTATAGCAGACACGGATTGTTTTTCTTTCTAAATAGTAAGAAAAAAATAGAAAATGTACAACATAGGAAAAACTGTTTTACGCGGGATAGAATCTCTCAGACAGTATTGAAGTGATAGTTAAGGCACCTATTTATAGTCAATTGCACTCGGGATTTTCAGGTTTCTTAAATGGGTATGGTAAATTTCACACTGAATTTTTTGGCTTTAAAAATATTCATCTAATAATGGAATAAATGTGGCTAATTTATAATATTCTTCTTCATTATTGGTGGGAAAGTTTGCAAGATTCGTTTGTCTTTAAAAATTCCTTGGAATTTTCAAATCAATATACATTAATAATACATAGTTCATAGTTTTATTCATAGTTCATACAGTTTATGCTGTTATTAAAATATAATAGATTTTCGAATAACCTAGTTGTAAAATACGAATCTTATATACCTTATACCTATGTATAACATTCACCACTTACAATTTATAAGTGGAATGTAGAAATATGTATAGTAGTTTTTTTTATAATTTAAATTTAAATATTTGAGTAATTTATTTTTTGAATTATAAAAGTTATTAACATATTATCATTAACTTCCTAAGCCTAGATGTTATCTATACTAAATTAATAAATTATTACTACAAAACGTATCTGTGTGTGTGTGTGGAAAATTTAACTTTAACTAAAATCACGTCTGTTCAAACCAATATTTTATGTCTAATTGTTTATTATAGTATACTACACTATATACCACACAAAAAAATAAAAAAAACAAAAGTAACTAATTTATAATTTAGGTACCATCTACTTAGAATCTACTAGTCTAGAATTCATATAATAATTAATAATGAATGATATATGAATATGATCTACAATAATAACATGTAATATAATATTTATTTTTTATTTTACAATTTTTTTCTTGATAGAATATCAGCAAAATTATCTATTATATCTTCATATATAATTTGTTTTGCTAAGTCTGATTCAATATATAATATTGCAAGTATGCCTAATCTTACTTTAGATATAGTTGACCTTAAATATGTTTTCATACTGTTTTCAAGTTCATTAAGGTTTTCCTTCTTTTTTTTTACTTTTTTACGATTACAGGCACCACTAGCTTTGACTCTTTTTAGCGCCATTAAAGTATAATTTCAACTAAAAAAATTGTTATGACTCAATTATACTTACCTAGTTTTACTTATTAATTATTATTTGCCTACTTGCAACAATGGCTAAAATACTGCATCAATTCATGGCAAATATATAAATATCTCCAATAATCGTAAGCAGATTTACAATGTAACTAAAGAGTACCTAAACTATGTAATTGTAGTGGGTCTACCTTAACTGGCACATCCTTAGAATATCAATTATGAAGTTGTAAGTTTTAATTTTATTATAAATACTATAATATTTTATTTTATATAGGTAACACTTCAAAAAACAATAAACTCTTGTTTCTATTATTGGTACTTATGGAGATTTAAATTATGTAGGTACAGAATAGTAGAATAAGTATAAAAGTAACTGACTTATTGTGTTCATCAAGTTATTAAGTACATATTATTATGATATGAAATGACACTAATGTATTTTAGTAGGTGTAGATAAGTACAGTACTACACTATGCAATTACAACAACTTCTGAATCATATACAGTTAGGTATATCGATATTATAATTTATAATAAACTAAAATCATAAAAAATTACAATCAAAATATCAAATATATACGGAAACTCGGAAACATATACGTACACAAAAATAAAAACGATTACGCTTCATACAGTGACGATAAAATAGGTAACAGCGACAACACATAATTATTATTATCTACATTTAAACATTTTACATATTTCTTAGAAACCCGAACAGTCGTCATCGACTATTGGTAAAAATAGTTTTATTTTGATAATTCCCATAATCGACAATCCCGATTTGCAAATAAAGGCCATGCAGTTATACTACGTCTTAAACCTTAGTTATACTAGTAAAAATATACCCATTAATATTTAATATTAGGTACTTACCTATTTAGTTGATAATGTTTGTTTTTCTTTATTTAAAATTATGAAATATAGGTAGAAAACTTGTTTACATATATAAATTGAAAAAAAAATAATTGAATGTTTAATCATTTTTGTGAAATCTTCCTCTTTATAAAGAAAAAAAAAATTTTTTTGTTTATTTTATCTAAGATATATTTTCCGCCCCAGGAAATTGTCCACCCGTCCCCTTCATTAAAACGTGCCCTTTAATATGACTAATGAACGTTAATATGAAATTGGTAAGAGCATTTAATAAGTATTTATAAATTATGATAATACGTCATTTGTATAGAAATAAAATAAGCTTGGTAAGTACAAATGTATCTATACTGTTTGTTTTATTCGAAAGATATAAGTAGGAAGTATTTGAATATATACTAATTATATACGATAAATATAGGTGGTGAATATTTATATAATATATTATACTATTTATACCTACTGATTTTATATGTAGGCGACACGATCAATAAACGAATATACCTACTAAATAAGGTTAATGTTCATAAACCGTAGAATATTCGAGAAAAGTTGGTACACAATTTACTATACTAATTACTAATTAGTAATTACTATATTTGGGTATTTTATTAATTAATTATGAAGAAAAAAATTACATCTCATATAATACGTCATAAAAAAACTAAATTAAGAATAAACCAATTAAAAGTAATTTTTTCCGAGTCTTTATTTTCCTACAGTCGAGGCTTTTTCCCGAGTACCATTTTTAGGAGTATGATTGTAGAGGCTCAATTGCGAGAGATATCATGTGTATGTGCAATTATAAATACGAAAATAATAACTACGTAGTATAAAGAGACCCCCTCTTCACCCCGCAGGGCCTTGCAAAATAACGATTACAAAACGGAGATTTCATTTTTATTCGTTTGATATTCGGAATAGGCAACAGGCTACAGACAATTCTATACGTTTATCACCGCCCGTCGACACAAATACACAATGAAAACGGCAAACAAACAACAGGCGCGTCGATGACGGCAACAGTGCACCATTTCGTATTTTCGTCGACCAAAAACGGCTGTATAAGGCTGCTATGTGGTAAACCGATTTCGCTAACCCCCCACCACGTGATTCCTTCGGCGGCGAGACATCGTAGTCCCGTCAGATAAGGTGCGAGTGGCGACCGACGAGTTGTACGGCGTACACGCACGGATTATCAAAAAAAAAAAAAATTGGAGATTCCCGTGGTTCGTTCCCGAATTAAATCTATAGTGATATATATATATGTATTAGGCGATGTATGTTCATAAACCCGGGCAGTGCCGTTTTTCCTTATCTTTATTGTTCTCTCGTTCCCGCTCCTCGTCACCGACTCGCGTGTTTCTGGCGGTCGGCGAGCTGCACTGCAATATTATGGTCGCCACTACCTGCGATTCCGGCAGGCATTTATTTCACGCGCAGGCACTCGACGATCATTGTTGACCAGATATCGTTCGCAACGTCGGCCTGCGCAGTGCGCACGCACTGCGTCGTCCTTTAAGCCAGCCAACGCTGTTTTTCTGCATCTTTATTGCACTCTCGTTTCCGCTCCTCGTCGCCGACTCACGTGTCCCTAGCGGTAGGCGAGCCGCACTACAATATTCTAGTCGTCACTACCTGCGGTCTTCGCCAGGCATTTTTATTTCTCGTGCAGGGCACTGCAGGCACTCGTCGATCATTGTTCAACCATCTCTCGTTCGCATCGTCCGGTTCCGCACTAGTGCTACTACGTTGTCGAACGCCGAACGGTACGGTTAACGATTACTACGTTTACATTTAATATTACAATTTATAATATACATAATTATTGTTAACAGCTCAGTGCTCATTCTGACGACTGTCTTGTTTTAAACAGCATCGCCGCCGTCCACTTCTCTCTTGAAAAAAACGCGGGAAACACGCGCACCGCATCACTTACAAAGACCGTCTGCGAACACGCCACCATGTCGGATGATCAGAAAATCGCCATCCCGGTGGACCGTCCGGACGACTGCTCTGCCGTACAGCCGTCAAAGAACGACGCCGCAGCCGCTGCATGCCCGGTACAGCCGCCCAAGGACAACGCCGAAGCCGCAGCCTGCCCCGTACCGCCGGTGAATTACGAAACTGAAATGTCGGATGTCATATTGTTGCCGAAGGATGATGACGCCGCTAGTTTCGCACCGCCTCCAAACATCGACGCACCGGTGACAAACTTTGACAATGGTCCCGCATCTCCGCCCAAGGAAGATGCCAGCCCTGCATCACCGCCAAAGGAAGACGCCAGCTCTGCATCACAGTCAAAGGGAGACGCCAGCCCCGCATTTCCACCCAAGGAAGACGCCGGCCCCGCATCTCCACCAAAGGAAGACGCCGGCCCCGCACTTCTGCCAAAAGAAGACGCCAGCCCCGCATTTCCACCCAAGGAAGACGCCGGCCCCGCACCTCCGCCAAAGGAAGACGCCGGCCCCGCACCTACGCCGATGGAAGATGACAGTCCCGCGTCTCCGCCAAAGGAAGACGCCGGCCCCGCACCTACGCCGATGGAAGATGACAGTCCCGCATCTCCGCCAAATGAAGACGCCGGCCCCGCACCTACGCCGATGGACGACATTGCCCTCGCAGCCTGCCTATCACCATTGCCTTTGAACCAAACCGTCCCATTGGTGCCAAATGTCGAGCCGGAATGTTCTAAGACCAACGATATTGAAAACGCTGACGGGTACGATAGTGTTTAATTAAATATAATAATAATAATAATAATAATAAGTAATCATTTTTGGCGCGTAGTTTGTTCGTGTTTATTATCGTTATTGTTTAATATAATATGTTGGTAGTAGGTAAACACACGTGTGCTCAAGATACATCGATGTATGTTAGTAAAGTATACTGCTATTTAGTTACTATCGATAGTGATTCCCCGATATTTGGAATTAGCTGTGATAATGGCCATACAAGTATATTATTATAGAATTACCGTAGTTGTTGACTTCGTAACGTTAGCTTATAATTTTATATAAATTGAGTATTGATTGACCTAACTGTACAATAATAATATTGTCTATCATTTTTTAGGTTTTATTACTTATATTTAGGGCCGTTCTTACAATGTCGGTTGATAACAGAATTCCGCCGGTTAAGTGTGTTACCTTTACTGGACATTGGCCCTTAGTAGACTTAATTTTTCTTTTCCCAAATGGTACTAGTGCACTGCATCATTATGGCAACTATAAAATTCACCACATTTTTATTTTTTAATGATGTATCTAATTTATGCATTTTCAATTATAATGGCGTCCAAAGGAATTTATCAAATATTTTCATTTTTAAATATTTTGTTTCACTATATGATTTGTGATAATAATAGTCTGAAGTATTGTGTGTTACAAACTTAATATTTTCTTTTATATAGGTATTATAGGCATGGGCGCCCATAGGTAACATTTTAGGGAGGGTCAAAATAAAAAATTTTGGTAATAAGGTAATATTGTGGTAATATTTATTGAGCTACAAATTCATATTATATTTTTTCAGGGGGGGTGGCAAGTTCCCTGTCCTGCTCCCTCCCAAAGGGCACCCATGATTATAGGTATCTAAAAAGGGAATCTAAAAATTGCACAGAAATTATGTGTATATAGCTATAGAAAGTCAGTTAAATCTTAATCTTATAGCATTCATTTTTATTAATTGATATGTAATTTTAATTTGCAAATACAATTTTTATATGTTATTTACCATTAACTTGATAATTGTAGATTATTTATAAAATTAAATATTTCTAGCTTCTACAAAATAAATAAAGAACTAGGTACCAAACCATTTGGAAATAACTTATTTTATTATTACTTATAACAAAACTTTAAACTATTGTTGCTGACCCCTTTTGTAGAGCTACAATTATGGATTATAAATAACAGCCAACAGGTATATTATACATTTGAATTATAAAAGAATAAAAGATATAAATAAACAAAGAAATAAAAACAAAAGTATTAAATAACAACAAAAGCAAACAGTGAATGCCATTGTAAGTGGTCGAATAAGAAAGGTGAGATCTGTATTAGAATTTAATATCATATGTCTTATTTGCTCATTTTTTGACAAGTAATTGATAGTACTCAATAAGACATGAAAAATCGTAATAGAACGAGATTGCTTTCTGGAACTTCAAAATATCTTAAAGGTTAAAGGTAATTTATCTTAAAGGAGCCTTAAGGTTGGATTGATTTTAATAATTATAATATGCTACCTATTTAAACATTGTAAAATATACCTAGTTTATGCAGACAGATTTACCAATCATGTACATATATATATATCTTAGGAGAAAAATAAATTACAAAGATACAAACAATTATTTTTACAAGATTAGTTCTATCTGCATTAACTAGGTATATTTTATAATGTTTCAATAAGTAACATATTATATAAACAAAATTTTTTGTTGATCGGAAATCATTATTATACAATATTAACAATGGTATATCTTAAAATTTTATCTGTATTTATATAAAATTAATATTATAAATAGTTAAATATTGTTTGGGACCCAGTGCCCTAGGTCATGGCTTTTTTTTTCTCAAATTTACTTTTTAGGCATAAGGCCTAGTGCATAAAAACAATACTCATCAGCTGGGTCCTTATACTGTCAAAACAATTTATACAGGGTGCAAATGAAAGAACTGACTAATGCAATAACTTTTGTTATAATCGATATTTTGAATTTTTTTTTTCATTTATAATTTATATCCACTTGCGCTACATGTATAATATAAAAACAATTATTTTTATTTTTCATACTGAATATAAAAAGTTTAAAATTAACTAAATTTTTTTTTGGATAAGTTCTAAATAGCCAATTTGTGAATCTGTTTATAAGAACAATTTAGATGGTAAAAATATTTATCTAAGTCGAGTAGTTTATTTTTAGAATTTTTTAAGTATCAATATTTTTTTGATTAAATTCATTTGGAACGTAATAACTTTTTTCGAAATATAATTTTAGGAAATTTGCTGACATAAGTATATTCCTTAAATTATTTACTGCTCATATAATGTCAAATAATTTGTTCTATGTTAAGGTAGCATCATTTTTTTTTTTTTTTTTTGGTCAGGTCTATCTGTTACACCTTGTACAGTCTGTTATGTAAAAGTTGAGGTTTTGTTTTGTTTTGTTTTTGCTTTCTATTTAGTATGTGTATGGGCGTGGTATAGTAGGTAAAAACATATAGAATATCAAAAATGAATCACATAAATTCTAACTAGTAACTAAGATTTACATACTGAAATTGATTAATATTATTGTAGACTAGGTAATAATTAAAAAAATTATTTTTACAGAGTTGAAGTCAAGCATGAAATTAAACATGAAACAATTGATTTGGGCAACGATACATATTTTTATGATGATAAAGACCAGTCTAAAGTTGGTTTTGATCGTGGACTTGAACCAGATCGTATTGTTGGAGCAACCGAAGTAAATGGACAACTGATGTTTTTAATTGCATGGAAAAATGCAGAAATTGCAGATCTGCTTGAAGCACCTGTGATTTACAAAAGATGTCCTCAGTTAGCAATTCAGTTTTTTGAAGCTCGACTCAGATATTGTCCTAATAATCAAAGACAATAATTTCTTATTCCTATGCATACATAAATCTTCCTAAATTTAATCAAACAAAACTTCCTGGTTAGTACAAAATATATTAATTAGCATTTAAAACTAAGGGAGAAAAACAAAACATTTTTATTTATATACATATTTTTAGTTTTTCATAATTTTTTTATTATGTATACATTATTTGTATTCGGGTGTATTTCATTTTTAAGAATTCCTCATTCTACAATTTATATTTAACTGTTATGTAGTTTATTTTTTGTTCAAAATTTTTAGTTTCATAAGACAGTTAATTATTTTGTGTGAATCTTATTAAAATTGACAATCAATTCTATATTATAAATATGTACTTTACTGTTGAGTTATTTGTAGTAAAAAAATACTACTATGTATTGCAAAACTGTCTCATTCCAATGTGCCTGTCTATAACAGACACTTCGATCTTAAATTTTTAATTTGGACATTCTATTTTTATTCACAGGTTTTATTGTATATAAAAGTCATTTTAATCACACAAAATTTTTTAGGCCTTATTGATTTACATAAAAAAAAACAATAAAAAGATTAATGTTTTATTTTCGATACATATTTATTAATAATCTATTTAATTATAGACATTTTTATTTTGTCATAGTTAAATGTTTTTTAATACAATATTTTTGTGTATATGGATTGTATTTTAATTAATAACTCCCCATCCTATGATTTATGTTGTATATGTTGTGTTGTTTATTTAGTATAATTTAAAACAAAATTCCACAGCTGGATATCAAAATTTTTGTTTCATTTGAGTGTTAATTATCTCGGATAGATCATAATCTCATAAACAAGCTACGTATATACGTATAATGAATATGAAAATTGTCAATAGGGAGACGCCACACTCTCATGTGTTGTCTCCGTCTTACAAACATACAACAAACCAAAAACTATTTGTGCAGGATGGAACCACTCAAGCTTAGTCCAAGCAAAGCAACCAAATTTTCACATTATAAAGAGGAAACCATTAACTGTGTAACATCGTTTTTATTTTTTCAATATCACAAATACAAAAAAAGTAATTCAAATTTGAAATAATGAATTTTTATACAGTAAAAACTTTTCCTGTATTTGCGATATCGAAAAAATAATAATGATGTACAATAAATGTTCTCTTAATATCATGAGAAATGGGTTGCTTAGCTTGGACTACAGCCTTCATGGTTCTATCCCTATCAAACAGTTTTATATTGCACGTTTGTAAGACGGAGACAACACATGTATGTATGGTATCCTCTTAAGGTCGCTGTGTTTTGAAATATGTATTTTTATTTATCTACAGCTGTAAATTATTTAAATACTTATATGAGGTGCCTTAAACACAAGGTACAAGTGAAATTATTTAATTTTTTTACAATTAAGCTTAAAAAGTGTGCTTTTACCTTTTAATTTAGAATGGATTTGCTACCACATCGCAGTGTCTAACAAATAATTCTCTTACATGTCTCCCATCAAATACAATAGACAATTTGTAGTTGATAGTGCGGTGTGTGCACCTAACAGATTTTTTTGTCACTTACATACACCCCTTTTGTCCTAGGCCAGTAGCTATTAAATTAAAAACTGTACCCAACTTGATTGTGAACCTTCTTCAAATAATGATACAAAAAAAATTCCAATGAATCTATATCATTGTTAGGATGGTGTAGGATGCTAATGTGCGTGTTATTATATCTATCATTGATTATTGAGAACAAATATCTTATTACTTGCTGGGTATATAATCTAACTTTGATGTGCGTAGACTGTGGCTAACTGCTCCAACTTGAGAGCTGTATTTTTTTGAAAGTAACTGGTATTATTTATTGTTGGCCGCGGTGTTATATGTATTGTAAAATGTAAATACTAAATTATAGACTCTTAGTGCTGAATGCACTTTTTCTGAATTTAAATAGGGATTGAAATAAATATAACTACTTTTTTTTTTTTTTAACCTTTATTTTAAAAACATACAATCTGTAATTTAAATTTACAATAAGCATGTATGCGGTGCGGATATGCATTTATTTGACATGCGACGCTTGAAAAAAGAAGCCACCCAATAGCAACACTTTATAACAGAAGTTAGTTTAATTTATAGTTATTAATTAATTTTGGTTTAGATCACGACACCATCTTCTCTTTAATCTACCAGGATTGCCAGGAATGGTGTCAGACTTTAGTGCTGATATTAAGGGATTAGGGTGGTTGGTTAGTCGTAAACGAAATTGTTTATATAGTAGCTTTGCAGTTTCATCTACTGTGTTAACTCTTAGGTCGGTATGTAGAGTGTGGTTTGAAACATAAAATGGAGCATTTGTAATTATGCGAAGAGTTATGGACTGAAAGGTTTGAATTTTGTTTATATTGGATTTTTTGGCAGCTCCCCATAACTGGATGCCATATGTCCAAATAGGCATCAATAGAGTTTTATATAAAAGTAGTTAAGTTTTTTTGTTGAGTTTTGAGTGTTTGCCGATTAAGTAGGAGAGGGATTTACGTCTAGCGTTTAAGAGAACTCGTTTGCTTTTAATGTGGTCTGCCCAGGTTAGACGTTGATCCAGAATTAAGCCTAAATATCGAGAGCTAGTAACTTTTGGGATGACAAGACCATAAATATAAGTACTTATATACATTTCCATCAAAAATTACAATCTTATTCAAACACTAGGTAATTTCAAATCACAAGAAAAAAGATGTTGATGCTGTAATCTCCTGAGATGATAATATTCATATCTGTGTTGTCTCCGTCCAACAAAATGTAATATGTTGACTTCAGCAGAATCAATTTTGTGTTGTTAGCTTAATTTATAAAGTGAATTAACCTGTTATTAAATTTAAAGGTAATAACATTTACTGCGTTTAGGGTTTTCTACAACATATTTTAATTTTTAAGCAAGATAACAAATTGAAATTGCTCATGAGGTAGCTTGCAGGTTTTGACTACTTAACGTTCAAGATTTTATAATTTTATTCATAAAATAATTAACTAATGTCTACATGTAGTCAGGAAAAATGTGTAGTGCATTAATGCTTGCATATGTAATACTTTTAGTGCATTAAATTCACAGCTCTGGTCATAAAATAAAGTCTATGGTAGTCATAGTACTTACTATATACTCTATTCGGAATAAGTAAGGTACCGGGCGGCGATCGGTTTTCGTCCGGCGGCAATTGGATGCTCTCACGTATTTATATTCAATCCTTCGATATTACAGTATAAAAGTTTTTTAACATATAAAATAAAAAATCAAATTGTTATCATCGTTTTTATGATGCCCTCTAAATGCATAATACTTTAGAATTCCTAGGGCACTTGAGACGCCTATGATGGGCATACCTTACACACCTTTACAAAATACAAATAAAGTAACTCCGTCGATATGCTGCACTACAGCAGTAATACGTTATTTTTGAAATTTCGTTGAGTTAGGTACTATCCAACACTAGTCTGTAGGTATACTTATCTGTGAGTAGTAATAGCGATGATTTTGAAGTTTACCGCTGCCTGGCAGTAAGGTTAGGTAGTCTCTTAGCCAGCCCACGATTATGATCATCAGATTATGCAGGCAAGCGGTCGTTGTGGGTGACCGAATTACAGATAAACCTAACACGTTATTCGTTAGATATTTTAATGTGATCGGATTCCTAAATATTATGTAATAGTTGTCACCGGTCGTATAGGTCAAGGTTGTACACTTTTAAGCGTTTATCTTCATCGAGCCGGGGAACACGCGAGCCGAACACTATACCGGTTTCGTATATTGGCGGTCCCGTTAACTTTCAAATTCCATCCGGGAAATACGTAAACTGTACAGTTAATACGGGTTTTTTGAATAATAATTAAGCCCGATTCGTATTTATTTACGGACAACACGGCATTACAGCTTTGAAACGAGATAATGAACACAAAAAAATTATGTGTACGAGACTGTAGAGATATGAGGACATCAATTAAAATAATAAACCTATCCATATAATTTTAATTAGGTGTACTTTGAATGTCACTCGACTATTGTTTGCTTTGCGTTGTCAGAAAGTTTCGAAATCTAAAAGGAATGTGACGTAAAAAAGTTTAGAACATTTTCGCAACGATATTAAAACAATAACAATTTTATAAGCCCGCCAAACCAAAGTGAATTATTTAAGTTTGCATCACAACTTGCGGAGTGATAGCGATACCATTTTCCTGAAACATATTTTTTATGCTGCTGTCACGTTCTAGGGTTTTCATCACCTTATTTGTCATAGCTGAGGTTTTAACAATTGTATTGATAGTTGATGCACTTCAGTCACATGTTGGTCAGGATGTGTTGCTGTACTCTAATAACACACAGGATCAGTTCAATATGTAGCCACATTTTTTTTATACTCAAAAAAAAAAATATTAAAAGATTAATCTACCCATAGAAAGTTCAGATTTCATACTTGATTTGTAAAGATGTTTCATGTATTGTAACACACTCTCACTGAATACAGAGGAAAAACATGTAAATAATACATGATTAATAGCTTAGGATTTAAATTAAAATTTAATACAAATTAAATTTGAACTAAATAGCTATATAATCCATTTCACGATGAATAATCAAATGAAAAACATACATAGTCAAGATAATTATTACATAAAAAAAAAAAACATTTACTTCACTTGGACAAATATGAATTTAACATAATCCAAAACCATCTTTTTTAACAGTAACAAAAGAAAATACAACAAAAGTTAACAATAAAGATAAGCACTGTACACATAATAAAACAAATTCATAACCACTACACACAATTGTAGAAAATGCAAGGTGATCTGCTAAATGAGAATATTATTCTTAAAATATACACCAATATTTAGTATTAATAAAATAAAGCATTTATTAATTGACATAATATACTTTTTATCATTATGTAAAAAATTAAAAATTAAATTAATATTTTTGTGATTTTAAAATTAATTTTCATCTTGCACTTGCTCTAAAGTAACAATGTATATTATGGATTAATTAAACCTAAATTGGCAACACTAGCATTACACATTGAAGGCTATACAATTATTGTATGAATAAAAATCAAACAATTTTTTTTTTAACTTTAGAAGACACCAACTCTACTCTAACATTGATATCCAGTATTAAAATAATAAACAATACAAGGAACAGAAAGTAATCTTATATAATATGTTGCCCATTTAAGTATATTTAATCTAGACTAAGTTTAAAATAATAATAACAAAATATTATCACATCAATTTTAACTTTTATCCTCATAATAATATATTTTCACATCTATATGAATTACACATCAAATGTTTGAACAGGATTCTCAAACTATCATAATACTATTTTCAACAAGCCATAAAAATGGCGTTTACAGAAAAATTATATATATATGCGACAAATACTAACACATTAATTCCTATAAATATTCTGTAACATCAACAATAATTTGAAATTTAAAAGTTGAAACATCTCGAGCAAATTTTTTTTTATAAAATAGACTAAATAATTATAACAAAAGAAATAAAAATAAAATAATAATAGTAATTATAATTATGATAATGATGATAAATTGATAAACCATAATAA